TCTGCACTAACTAGCGTGAAATCAGCCTGGCAAGCCTTGCAGCTCAGAGGCAGATGACCAAATGCTAATCCACGTGGCTGCCAGCAGCTAACATTAGCCAGGGAAAAGGATCTTAACTGACTACAACTTCGGTTTCATCACAGAAGACTTAAGGAATAGCTCAACTGGGAAATGGAGACAGAATTTAAAAAAAAAAAAGTAAAATAAAGAAAGAAAGAGAAAGGTAATTTGGCAGTAGCTGTGCCCTACCGGCTGCCTTGGAAAAGCCCTGAATTTTGCATGGTAGTGGCTGAGCTCAGAGACGCTGCCACTATTCTAAGAAAATCCCTGGCTGAAGCGCAGCCTATTTGCTGCTACTGCTGCTGGGTGAGGCAGGGTTCCCCCGAGCAGCTCACTCCTCACACACCCTGCCCCTCTACGCACAGCTCATGGCCGAGGGAATGCTCTCCTCTGACACAGCAAACCTTGGCTGCAATGGAGAAATGCAATAATTTAGCACCCAGACAAATTATTTTGGGATTTCTGTGCTGTACTGAGGCTGACACATCCCACAACCAAAGGGATGCGTCTACAAATGCACCAGTTTTCTGTCTCTGGAGTCTGCATCTTCACTTAGTTTACAACTGTGCAGAGATCTCAGGGCTGAATTGTAGGGTCATCTCAACAGGTCTAGCATTGAATAAAATTGTTTAGTTCTTCAGCAACCTGATCTGGCAATGGCAGCAAGACTGGCGTTTGGAGCAGTATCTCTACTCATATATAGAAAGCAGATTTTTTCCCCAAAGTGCTTAATGGTAATGAAGTAACAAATAATGGCAAGCAGTGTTATGCAGACTCTTTAAGCTGAGAGTGAATTACCAAGCATGCCTTATTTTCTAAAATTGGAACCAGTCCCTTAATTGTATGGGCAAAATTCTTCAGCTGAGTCCCTCCCCTCTGCTACATAAATTTTACATTCAGCTACACAGCCACAAAGCAGGGCTGTTGGAAGGAGTCACTGCTTGCTTACAACAAAAACCACATCAATAAGACTAATCACATCAGCTCTCTTATGTACTGGGAATCTGATAGCTTCTACTTACAGCCTTGCAGCTTGTCTACAATTTTTTTCACTAAGCAATACAACTAATTCTCATTGTTTGAAGAAGCAGCTTTAATACCAGCCTGATGCTTCAAAGCTGTGAGACAGTACTTATGATCACACCCAGCAGAACACATGTGCATGCTGCCCAACGCTCTGATCCAATACTGCCACAAGGGTGAAAAAGTGCTTCTGCTGTAATAGTAGGTTTATAGTACTCGGGCAGGCCTCACTGCTCTGTCGAAGGAGGTAGGACATTTTTCTTCCAACTCTATGAAATAGCACGTCTTCAGTGATTGGGAGGCTTCCCAGGGTTTTACACTGGGAGGGTACTTCCTTAGAACCCGTGGCACATAATAACTTGAGTCATACCGACGTCTACTGAGCTTGTGTGCTGAAGCATTTGCAGGCTCAGGCCCTTGAACCAAGCTGAGTCTTTAGAGTTCATGTGTCTATTTTTCTGCTCTGTCTGTTGACAAGCAATCCTGAGAATCTGTCACTAGTAGGCAAAAATAGAAACTGGACAGGAAAAGCTATGAAACTCAAAAGTGTTTCTGGTATTTCAGTGCGGACAAATCTCTCATGATAAGCTTATGAAAGAAGTGCCCCTGAAAGTACTATCGAGAACTCTGGGGAAAAAAAACATCCTGTAAAGTTACAAAGCAAATGCCTATTGCAGTAACAAAAATTACTCTGCAGAGGATGGTGATGGTAATGTGAGAAGCTCATGATCTATCAGAACTGGAGTAAGCTGATAAATACCCGGATGGGTTAAGAAAATCAGAGTCGGTTCAGAGAAAGCTTTCAGACTGAAACAGTATTCTCAGAACAATTTATAAAGCAGAAAGCTTTCCCCTTCATGGGTGTCTAACACTGACAGACTTCAGTCTGTCAAGGGAGGCTCTAGCAGTAGAGAATGTAACCTTGACTTGGCACAGCACGAAAGAGAAAATCTCAAGGTGTATGATGGTAGATAACATGAGAGCTGCAGAAAGTCTCCAGACAATGGCCAATTTAATGGCCAATTTCCTAAGTGCTGTAGGAAGGAAATACAAGTTAAAGCAAGAGCTGCTGGCCTCTAAGCCACATGAAAAAAAAAAAAAAAGAGTTCAATCTTAAATCTAGGAAATGAATAGACAGAAGAGATGCCACATTGGCTCATGCAATTCTGTCTGATAGTGGCCAGTTGTAGCTGTTTAGTGAAAAAGTACAGGAAACAAAGAGCAGAAGAAATCTCCCAAGTCAGCTACTGATGGATTGAGTTGCTTCATTTTCAACTGTGAAACAGGACAGAGAGTACCGTATCCCACTTTCCCAGACTGGGACAAGGGGGTGGGGATGGTTATAAATACTGCAGGCTCCTGTACTGTAAGGTTTCCTTTGATGTAAATCAGTTTCCCTTCATGCATAGGCCGTGCGTGACTCAGGCAAAATGCTCTATACTAAAAAGAAGGGAAGAGAGAAATTTTATCAGCCCCCCCGTTACTCAACAGTAAATTTGTGAATGTAGTGAGAACAGTTACAAAGCAGCCAGCTACCCCGTGGAAGGCACACAACACTGGGGATAAAGAGATAACTTGCTTGCGGTATCAACAGATTCAATTTTAGGGCTCTGAGCATCATATCCTAAAACAACTGCAGCACTTCCCACTTACTTTTCTAGTGTGAGGAAGGACTTTTTCTTTGAGAAACTTATTTTTTAGGTTCCCCTTGGCTTTTGTCCTGCTAGTGCAGGTACTGAGAAGAGGAGCTGTCATGGCCCTGAGGGCACTGCTGGCCCTGACCGTCCCTGCCTGGCCCTCAGGACTCCCCCCACCCTGCCCACGGACCAGGACCCCATGTCAGTCCCCCGGGGCTGTCAGTCCCTGCCCCAGTGATGCTGCAGCAGGGCCGGTCTCCAGCTCTCCGCAGCCCAGCCCTGCCTGGCCAAGGGCCCTGCCAAGCCAGGGCCACCCATGGGCCCATGTCCTGGCCCAGCCTTGGCCCATCCCTCTTTATAGAGGGTCTCTGCAGAGGGACCTGGAGAGGCTGGATCAAGGAGCTGCAGCCAGTTGTATGAGGTTCAACAAGGCCAAGTGCAGGGTCCTGC